AATTCATTATAAGATGCAAATGTACATAAACAGCAGTGTGTACTGACTTAATCTGGGAATGAAGCAAATTCTCAGTTTTGCCTGTGTAATCAGAATTACATCCAGGATATTTGAAGTAATAATGGAATAAAAACTCTTAAATACTTAATGTGTATCTCAAGTGGATATGAAATATGTAGTGTCTCTGCAGTGACATTATAAACTTGACCTCCTTAGTTTCTTAACTGATTCCTGACACCTGCACCTGCTGGTGATGATGGATTTAAAGTAACACACAGAGCTTGAGTTTGCAACAAACCTGTGTCTTGTTTGGGAGTAATTTTACTCTTATATGTTTATAAAAAAATCAGTGGCTCTCTTGGTGTTCAGATAATCCCTGCTCAAAAGTTGAGCCGTGAGCAGTGCAGAGTGCAGATGCTTCTCCTATCATTACTCAGTGAATCTCAGCAATAGAACCTCCAACAAGCCTTTATTTGACAAGCTTAATAAACTGGTGGATATCCCACTTGGAGAAATCTTTAATTGTTGTTCTTTTTTTATCACCCCCCCAAAAAAAAAAAAAAATCTGTGAGAAGGTGGAAAATCTACACTATAATGATTCTTTTTTTTTTGTACAGTAAGAGATAGAAAATTGTGTCCAGAGCTGCTTCAGAAAATGAAATGAAGAGGTGGGTAATCCACAGAGACCATCAGCAAAATGAGCCACAAGCATGCCTCAAACACTTACTTAAGGAATGCTTTATTGAGCGCACTGCCTCTGTTCGGGGCCATAGGAAATTCACAGCCATTAAATTAAACATTGTCCTTCCTATTACAGGGAGCTAGTGGAGGAAAGCAAATCTTTTCAGCCAATCCCTCAGCACCACTGAAAAATAGATGCTGGGAAAATGAGGCTGGATAATTGACAGCAGGTCAGTGAGCCAGCGAAACTGAGGTTCAGGGGAAGACAAACACAAACTATGACACATTTCCTAGACCTACGATCTGTGTGTATACTCACACACAGATCACTAAATTCTTCTTCTTAGTGAAACAACAGGTTGATTTACTTACACACCTAACCGCTGTTGTGCAAAGGCAGGGTATCTAGCTGTTGCGTAAGAGGCCAAGAAAGGGGAAGACAAAGCAGCAGAGCGAAGAGGTGATGAATATGTTAACTGGAGACGACGCGGGGTGGAGAAGCCAGAGCTTAGAGACAGTAAAATCCTCACATTAACCGATTGCTATGGATTTTCCCAAGCTTTAGAAAGAGGATCTGCTCCAGATTTTGTTAAACCGATCCAAAGGAGCTGGTGTCCGAGGTAATAGTAATGCGCGTGTGTGTGTGTGTGTGTGTGTGTGTGACTGCGCTGGTTACCGTGTGTGTGCGTACATGCTAGTTTGAGTGGGCAGAGAGGCAGGCAAAAGCAACCACAGCCACTTGATGTTCAAAGAGAAGAGATCAAAGGACAGCCCCTTACTTCGGTCTCCTTCCTCAGGATTAAAAAGATCATCAATAATAATGGGCTGGAGCAGCGCAGTGGGCAAACTGGAGAGAAGCTTGAGCGGAAGCTGATAGGTCTCTCCTGTCTGTGTGTGTGTGTGTGTGTGTGTGTGTGTGTTTATGTGTGATATTTTGGCGGTTTGCCGCGGGGACAAGTGGGAGCAGAAAACCATAAGTGCGGGCTGTTTTTTCTCGAGCTGGTGCCTGAACCATCCTTCAGACACATCATGCAAAATTCACCACAACAACGTCTTCACTTCTCACTTTTGGCTCCCAGTTGAGTTCTGGTGAAATTTATGAATGTGTATGTGTGTCGAGCAGTGGGCACTGGGAAAAGAGCATTGTACAATGGCAGCGTACAGTGATGTTGCAGCACATCTCCGTTATGTGTACGTGGGACACTACGTCTACGGTGGTACATGTTGTATGGGCGGTAATGACGGGAATCCTTCCGTGTTTATGACCTGATAAGGTTTCACATCATTGTGCAGCTCAAGATGGTAGCTGCCACTCATAACGTCCTTTCGACTGCTACTGCACATCCCAGCTGTCTTACATTTTTTAAACGTGTATCAAAAGTAACATAATATACGCAGATAACAAATTATTAACAAGACTCAACCAAAAGCTATGAATAGTGAGTTTCATTTAAAAATAATGAAGTTGTGTCAGTTGTTAATATCAATGTTTCTCGATTGTTTTGATGTTGCAGAGTTGGACATGTGAGCGTTAAATGCATGGTTAATATAACCCTATATCCATTCATTTAGCTAGAGCTTCGACTAACCACTCATTGTCTTGTTTTCTCAGACCAACAGACCAAAACATAAAGATATTCCATTTGCAAGGATGAAAGTGTGAAAATCATATTGGAGGAGCAGGAACAAGGAAAGTTTGGGAAATTATTTGACTACCTTTCAAGAACGACTGTCTGGCTCATGGGATCAGTGATTTTTCTCTTTCCAGGAACTTGAGCAATATTTAGAACCACGTCAAACAGAAAACCTTTCAGAAATTTGTTCAGTGAAATAAGCACCGTTTTTGATCAGTCATATGGATGAAAAAAGGGGCTGTTATTCTGCATATTGTTTACGTGTATGAGGCTTTTAAAATGTTGTTCGGGTTATTATTGAAGCATTAATGTGGAAATAGCATGTTGTTGTTGTTGTTGTTGTTGGTCAAGCTTGAGCTAATTTTAATTACTTAATACTCTGCTGGGTACCTTAATCTGTAATAATGTGTCATATTTTATAAACTGATCATGTTTTATATCTGAAATCCTAATCAGCAAAGTACTAACTACTGTATATTCTAGAAAACTATACTAACTACAACTGTCAAATACAGTACATGTGGTGGAGTAAAAAGTACATTTCCCTCTGAAATGTGGAGATTGAGTATAATGTAACATAAAATATAGATTCTCAAATGAAGTACAAGAACGTCAAAAGTGTACTTGACTAAATGTACTTAGTTACATTCCTCCACTGTGAGAAAATAAATGCAAATAAACTTTACAAGACGGATATATATATATATATATACTGTATATAAAATAATAAGCTTCATCTTTGAAATCCTGCCTGACGTGAACGTGGCGGCATTGCAAGTGTTAAACCGGCGGATAGCGAGACAGGCAAAAGTGTAGTCAGACTGAGCTCTTTTCCTGTTCTCCTTCCAATCTCCCTCTCTTCCTCTCCTCTTCAATCACGGTCTTCCCCCAGGAGGAGAAAAAGGAGAGGGAGCTAATTAATTACAGTGACTGACGACTCAGTGGTGAAGATCTAAGGAGGTGATGAATTGTGCTGTAGTACATCTATGACAGTAATCTGAAGCAATCCCCTACCTTCACTTCCAACCACAGTGAACTGCTCTCCACATCGCCTCATAATATATCACTCCATCACTCTCCTGTTCGTCTGAGCCTCAGTTACAGCCAGGATACAATAAGGTCGGCCTCGAGTGAAGGTCAAAGGTCAGAAGAAGCTGACGGCCAATCACATTATTCTATGGAAACCAGTGAGAAGACTGCCCTCGACTGGTGGCAGCGGCATAATGTCGGATCATCAGCAACCACAAAGCGGATATATCTCTTTTCTATACTTTCACAAAGTCCATTCATCATGTGACAAACCCAGGCGTCATAAATGTTCAATAAATTGCCAACAGCTGTGAAGGTACTGCTGCAGACATATATGCTACATAACACACACATGCAAACACATTATTCTTTACATTATCAGCAAATGATTACAGATCGAGAGAGTTGCGTCTGCGAAGCGTGTGGCAGATGTGAGAAAGAGAGAGTACCTGTGTCACGTGCAGCAGCAGCAGCAGCAGCAGTACGACAGAGCAGGTGTCTAGCTTGAAAACCAGAGTTTAGTCCCAACAACACTTCATCTGATAGATGGTTTTCATTATCTCTTCCCTCCTCAGGGGAAGGAGCTCCGAATGCCCCTCTCTTGATCGTATCAGTCTCCTTTTATAGATCAGTAACTACCACCACACAATAGAACAATCAGCTGAATTCTCCATTGCCTTTAATTGTATTGTTAGCTTGAACTGTCAATAAGATAGTAAAACAGTTGGGTGCGACTTCATATTTTGACTAATTTTATTAACTGGAGAGAGAAATTATAGTCAGGAGGACGCAAATTTTAAACAGCACTGAATAAATATTTGCTCAGAGTCGATGGTCAGACTTTTGAATTGACTGAATTAGTTTTGCCATTCTTCCAATTTGCAGTAAATGTGTTTAATTAGCTGACTGTAACCTTGTCGGCTAAGTTTGTGGAAATGCTGTCTCTTAATTGGCATAATTAAAACGGAATGGAGGAGAATTCCATTGTGCGTCAGGAGACGATGACTCAACGTGCACAATGTAAGGGAATGACGTCTGGATTTGCAGTGGGAAACACAGAAGCACCCAGTGCTGGATGCCAGCCCCACTCAGCATCAATACTGCATGCAGTAATGCTGGAAAGCCAAGCGCTCCAGACCATGAGGCACACAAGAGGGCTAAAATAAGACCCAGCAGCCACTGAGCTTTACAGCTCGAATAAGCTCTTATGTGGGAAAAACAGTTCTGCATTCATCGTATTGTATCTGAGAAGAAAACTGGGTCAGATGGATAATAGCGCAGAGGGTTTGGGCCTGCGTTTGTAAAGGGAAACTAGTTTGCGGTCAGCTAAACAAAGTAATTCTTTTCCAATAATCTAAAACAAATGCAAGACTGGTTTTCGACATAAATTAGAAATAAGAGAATTTGATTTGATGGCACTGTCCAATCCGATGTCAGTCTTAATGCAAGGATAAATCTCCCTTTGCAGCAACTGCAGCTCTAATTTATTTATTTTTCTCCTTTGACACTATACACATGCTGCATAACTTAGACACACAGCACATTTATAATACATACCTTCTATACACAGGTATAAATTTATAATGGTCTATGGATTATGTATGTTCACACATGTTCATGAGCCCATGTGTGAGTTAAGCGCATGTTCCCACCGACCTGTGCTGCTCTGGATGGTTCTGACAGTGGTGGTGGTGCGCGGGGGTGAGTTGGTCCTTCTGTTGCCCACTGCGACGCCTCCCTCCTCCTCCTCCTGCGAGCAGCCTTTCTCTATGGCACGCACGTAGCTGTGGCTCCGCATGCGGAAGCAGCCGGGCATGGGCAGGTCCAGGGCATCCACCGCCTGCGACTCCATCTCACTGAACACTGACTCACACACCGCCTCGATCTGCCCGTTCACCTCCACCTCGCTCACCTGCGGAGGACGGGGGGGGGGGGGGGGCACGCAGACATACAGTATGTGCACGCAAACACCCGGATGACAAAGAAAAACACAAAAACAAACACACACACACACACACACACACACACACACACACACAGGGAGCACACACGCCCATGCATGGGGAAAAATAAAAAATGAAAAATAAGAATGCACAGGTGCACACCAGCACAGTGCAAGACAAGGAGAATTGGCAATATATTAGAGAAGCCAGGGAAGCATCTCTTAGTGCAGCTCACTGCTACAGAGCTATTCCACTGATTAAAGCTTCACTCGCAGGAGTTTTCTGTACAAACACACTTCAGTCACAAATTGGGTACTGCAATAGAAGACAGTATTGCAGTATTTCCATAATTTGAATCAGGTAGATTCAATATATCTGCCAGAAATATATTCTGATGTGTGATATGAACACTGCTCTGCCCACAGAGGGAAAAAAAACAAACTGTGAATGGTCTTTTAAACAAGAGCGTGAGGAACCTCTTACTCTCCAATAAGAATGAATTTGCAGTAAAAGCATCACAGACTGGATCAGCTGTTTAAACATCAGCACACTGAGTTCAGTTTAAATATATTTTCTGAGTATGTTCAGATTGGTCGGACTGTTACCTCCACACTGTCTCGTGAAGCTTTAAGCCGTATAGAGGAGTTTGCATATATTTGAAAAAGAAAAAAAAAAAAAAGAAGGAAATATATTTGGGAAGAATCAAAGAATGTCCAAGGAGTGCAGAGGGGGAGGAATCACTGTAGGATAAAACTTCAAAGGGCCATAGAACAGAGTGAAATACTACAAGTGTTGTTATAAAAGGTGAGAATTAGGAGGTGTCAAAGCTGGGACTACTGGGATTTGAGACGAGACTCGAGGAAATCTAACTACGCCAACATCAGCAGCTGGTGCAGCTTGGGTTTCAAAACAGGGTTTAAAAGCGAAAAAAAAAAAAAAAAAAAAAAAAAAAAAAAAAACTTGCTACACACTTGTGAGATGGGTGTGTGTTACAGACTGGGGGTTTGTTAGGGCAGAAAACTTGAAGCTCCATTCCATTCCTTGAAGTTGCCTATGTTCAGTTCGTCCAATTAAAGAAGGAGTTTGCGAAATGTCTGCACAGGGAGCAAAACATAGGAATGGGATGTAGCCAGGGACTGCAGCTGTTGGGTCTGGGTGTTTGTGAGTGAAGATAGTGTGGGGTCAGACAAGTGTGAGAGTGTTACTGTAGAGCTTGGAGTCAGAAAGGTTTGTGGACCTCAATTCAATCCACTGATGTCGAGCCTTTTTTTTTTTTTTTTTTTTGTGTGCGTCAGCTCACCCTCTACGCACAGACGTGTCAAATCTGAGTGAGGGAGTGAGATAGAGACCCTAGCAGCACCTTTTTATTCAGTGGCATTTTTGTAGATGCCAGGTCCAGTGTGTCATTCTCCTCTGGGCTTGCTCCATGCCAGGACTTCAAGGGATGTCTCCAGGGTCCATCATTCAGCTGGCGAGACAAAGTGTTGCCCCTGGGCTTTGGAGGGGAGCACATATCTCCGTTACACCAGGCAAAAAGGTAAGCTAAGCTCCCCTGTCACTCCAAATAATGTAGAGGACGAAGCTGTGCCCAAAAATCCAAAATGACTAACATCTTATTTGGTGGCAGCCATGACAATAACAGACCTCCACTAGGTGAGTGTTTCCTGGCCAATTCTTCAATATGTTCAATAACCATCAAATCAAGGCAAATGCCCATCATCATTTAGAGCCAATCCCTGTTTCAATTATTCATAAAATTCATATGGCTGCGTGTTAATTCTTGTTTTTCATCTCTTACGTAGCAGATGCCAAATTGAGGAGAACATTTTTAGCTTGTCACTTTGCATCACAAAGTATGCACAAGCAGAAGGAGCATATCAGGGTGAAGGAGGGGATATTGGGGGTGGGGGGGGGTACTGCATGCCCTCCTGTTTAATTAGCAAATCTGAATATGCCTGTAATCATATGAGCTCCAGAAAACAGCACACAGACGTATACACTAATTGGGAGATTGGGGGTTTTCGTACTGTTCATTCTTTGCCGGATGGTGACCTGATTGTTAATTCAGGCCTCAGGGTGGCTACGGATGGGATTTCCTCCCCCCTGCACGACCTCATTGGACATAGCAGTGGAGGTACAGGGGGGTGTAAGGGCAAAAGGCAGAGAGGCGCGGGCCCCTGGGTGCCACTAACCTGGCTGATAGTGCTCATGGCTCTCATGTAGCTTTCGTTTCGCGAGCGGAATTTAGGCGAGGCCAGGAGCCCTGCTGGGTCCAAGCTGTCCAGACTCCTATTGATGGAAACCTCACTCACCGCCCGCAGATAGCTGTGACTCCGGATCTGCAGCTTGGGTGAGTGCTCTGTAGAAATCCTGCCGCAAGAGAAGGAGAGAGAGATAAAAGGAGGGGCAAAAAAGAGAGAGAGAAAAAAAAAGAAAGAGGCAGAACAGGAGCAAGGGAAAGAGAGGGAGAGATAAGGTGATGAAAATAGAGCAAGAGAAGGTATTTGCAAAGTACTTGGCAGTGTGTATGAACCCAAAGATATGGATCAATCCACAATTGCTTCAGGAGACACCCTTATCTAATCAACAAGCGCAGTACTATTGAGAAACACTCGCAGTGGCTTAGGTAGTCTGTCCTTGAAGCACCTTGTAAGCACTTTCTAAAACACTCACAGAAAAAAAAAAAAAGCTATAGATCGACACAAAAATACACACACACACACACCACACACACAACACACACCACACACACGAACACATGCGTACAAACGCACCCCGTCTCCCAGGACGATGAATAGGTGTCTCATTAGCTCTCACCTGCCTCCAATCCGATTGCTCAGCAAGCTTCACGCCTTATGTGCGCGTGTGTGTCTGTGTAGTGTGTGTGTTTAGGTTACGCAGCAGTTGGGCGCGAGCTAAACAATTCATTAATCAGGGGGGATAAAACCTAAAAAGCGGACTTGCTCTCTCCATGACGAACATCGTGGCCTACTAAACCAACTTACAGGGAGAGGAATGAATACAGCACAGATTAGAAAGTCTCTTCTCAAATCAGCAGTGAGAAGATAAGGTCCAATACCCCCAGTAGTTCACACTCCCGTCTGTCGTTTTATATGCGTATATGAAAACACATTTTACACACACACACACACACACACACACACACACACACACACACACACACACACACACACACACACACACACACACACGTACTGTACACATACACAACTCTTACTCTCTGGTCTCCAGGTCAGGTCGGCTTTAATTATGTATTTCCTCCTAAAAATAGAGCGTGGGTACCACAGCCGAGGAAGCTAGATTACTCATTCTTGGATGGATGAATGGGAGAGGAGAGGAAAGTGAAGAGGAACAGGGAAAAGGACAGATGAGCCCGTTGTGATGGGAATAATTCTGATGACACATATAAGCAGTTTCTGATCTGACACCACTATCAACAGAGAGACAGCGGCATTTCAAAATAAAACAGTTCTCGGACTTCACATTGCAATGGTTAAGGTTTGGTTAACCATGATCCTAACCACATTACTGGTTATGGTCACGTTTACAATAATAACCACTTGGTTATTGTTAGGGAAAGATTTAGGTTATTGTTCACACAAACCAATGCTGACTACAACTCTCCCGTGTTAAAGTCTCATGTTCTGGACACTGTGGCTCTAGAACAAAATATTACTTCCTCCTTTGTTCCTCATGGACAACAGCCTTAATTCTTTCAGCTGCAAAAGGACTTTGTTGCTTAAAAGTAAACAAATGTAATTTTTGTGCTTTTGCTGAAATTACTGATGCTGTTGTCTCTCTCTCAATCTCTCTCTCTCTCTCTCCCTGGGGTCCAGCCTCATAGTTATCCCTCTTTTCAGTTAGACCAAACAACACTGATTGAGAAAGTAACTGACAATTAAAGTAATTGCTGGATGGGAAGCTATTTAGAAGTATAACAGAACACATCAATTAGTACTCTATTGATAAAATACATAATATTTTGTTCTCTTATATTGATACAGTATTACAACTAATTTTTGAACCCTTTACTTTGTTGCATGTTTTATCATCTTTCTATTTTCTATTTTCCCCACGCAATACATCTCAAATGTTTCTTCTGGGGAACCATACTCAATTGATGATGAAGATCAAAAGGTACATCTTTCAAGCTAAGAAAAAATAATCATAATGTACGGTATATCCCCAAGCCTCAGAGAGTTGTATGAATCATCCATATCAGCCACCTGGAGTCTGTGACTGAAGAATCTACCTACACCATTATCTCTATCCACATCTCCTCTTGATTTCCCTGCGGGGCGGATTATAAGCAGGTCCAATGATGTCTATTGTGGCCACTTGAATGGCAGACCCAGCCTGTAATCAGGACCACCTAAGGTGGGGGAGGTCAGCCTGTCCCAGGGTGACCCTCTATGGAACAAGTGACATTAATGAACACATGCTCCTCTGCCAGTCAGGAATAAAGGCTCTCTAGAGCAGTCCGCTGATTGCTACTGCATTACTTATTGTAAACCTAGGGGTTTTTTTTTTCTTCTCCATCATCTCACTTTGTCCTCCTGTTTGCTTCACCTCGTTTCCTGTCAGCCGGCTCCCCCTGCCTCCCCACTTGAGAGAAGTTTTCTCTGTTCGACTGCCCTATCCTCTTTTACCTTCTCCTGTTTCTGCCTCCTGTCACCATCTTGTCATCTTAGTCACTCTCCAAATGAAAGTCCTTAGAGCGATGACAGTGGTTGAAGGGATGGAAGGACAGAAAGACAGAGATGTGATTACGGCAACCTATTATTCAGGACGTCTGTTCTCGGTGAGACGTACAAAAATAAACGATAAAATCTAGGGCAGGAATAAATGAATTTGCGGCAATTCGCTGTTGGTGAGTGAGGCAAGCAAGAAAGAATGTCATTTTCTTCTGAGCTTGTTTGCCTGCAAGGAATAATCCCCACTGCTTAATACATGCTTTATCTGTGTGTTGTGTGTTTTAATAAGGATGAAGGTCAGCTTCAGGTGAGAGTAAACAAATCCCACAAATTCTCAGAGGAAATTCTTCACTAGGCAAGGACACAAAGGTCAGGGAATGGGCTCTGAAACATATGGAACAACAAAGCTGATTATTTAATCATTGCGGAGTGTAACACAGACTTGTGCCAGCTCCCAACAGCACAGTGTGAAAACAAGATGTCAGCTCCTCCCGCCTCTTCCTCTATCTTCAATGTGCAGCACTGCAGTTTGGTTTGTTCCACTGGGTTCCATCAGACGATCGTGGCGTTCCCAGGGCCAAATTCAAGTCTTTAGTGGGCCCTAAGCTGCACCACTTGCACTTACGTAAGGGTGTGTGTGTGTGTGTGTGTGTGTGCGTGTGTGTGTAACCAGCAACAATGACGGAGCACCCACTGGTGTTCCTCTCATCTCTGTATATTATACAGCTAATCAGTCACAGCCACATACTGCAACATAAGACTTGTGTGACCAACTCTTTCACTGTTTCGTGGCTGAATGGTGGAAAACATTCTCACTGAGTTTACATTACATTCAGACAGTTAGGTCCTGAGTTGTCGTGTCCAGTAATGAAAAAGGTGGAAGGACATGTGTCATTATGAATTAAATAAATTAAAGCAAATTCCAACTTTGTGTGTTTTCATAGTTTTAACCGTCATTTCTATCAGTTCTAATAACACTGCCGCGCAACATCATTACAATAAAGTCAGTGGAGCAAGAAAGACGAGCAGGTAGACAATGAGGCTGTAAACAAGCTGATAGTTGTTGTCAGTAGCTGGATGATATAAACTACTTTATTTTGAGGCACACCTAAAATTGTAATTAATAATGTTTTCAAGAAAGTTTGGGTAATTTTATTTTTTGTCGTTGTTCTCTCTTCCAAATAAGACCTATACACCTGCTTGTGATTCATGCTTCATTAATTGGAGCTCTTCCTTTTTTTTTTTTTCTTTACATACAATGTTGTTATAATTATTTCTAATTGGAATGACGACCTAAACTGCAAAAGTAAGACTCAAGTTGTGTGAAACCAAAATTTCCAATCATATTCTTCCTCCTCAGCGTCTGTAATTCTGTGTATTCCATCAGAAAGAGTCAGAAAATGGCACCACTTAACATCTTGTGTTATTCAAGTTAACTTGTGTGGACTTCATTGTGGACAATGTTGTCAGCTTGATGTTTCTTTTTTTTTTTTTTTTTTAAGTCAGAGATCTTCTTGATGGACTCTGGTACTGCTGAAAACTTTATGAGCTCATGCTGTGAAGCAGTATGCTGCTGAGCCGTGAATGACTTATGCAACAAGAAACAACTTCATGAAAATCTTGAAATAATAAAGCTCAGCTTTTAACCGCAAATCTGTAACACAGAGTTGCTTTGAGAAAGAGAAAATATTTGATGATGTTCCCTACCCATAATGCATTCTGCAGAATATGACATTTATTTTTGAACAGACTTCAGCGCATGAACAGGCATCATGTATTTTCAATTAAGGCTCAGTCTGTTCAATGAGTTTGTGTGATTGTAGAGATACAGACGCCAACTCTGAAGACAGAAGTGTGTGTCTGAGTTGTAAACACTGAACAGGTAATTAAGCTGTGGCCACTGAGAGTCAGGGATTCAAACATAAGCCGGACTGCTGCTGGGAAGACACATGAATAACGCTGACTGCCTTCATCTGCCTCTGTTTGTCGAGTTTTCCCTTTTTCTTCCACTCCCTTCATCTCTCCCGTCTGTTTCACTCAAACTGCTCAGTTTGACCACAGGCTTTCAGCACACTTGAACATTATGTTCAGAAGCATGCGCCGTATACGCGCTGAAAAATAATATACTGCACAGGCAGGCATACGGCCGCGCCATACATGAACACATAAATACTGAAATGCTGCTGTCAGTTAAGTGATTTGGTGGATGACAGAAAATAAATCAAGTCATTTTTCAGGCACAAATGCCAAACATTCAGCTCAAGCTTCTCAAGTGGAAGGTTCAGCTGTTTTCTATAACTGCAAAGTTAATATCTATGTTTGAGTTGTCTGAAGGGGAATTGTCTAGGGAATTGTGATGGGCATTTCTTATTAATTGATTAATCAAAAAAAAATGTAAGTAAATAACTGATACTGAAACTCTCAGCCAGGGCACACACTCACTTCAGCGTGGTCATCTCTGTGAGGGACGGCTGTGTGGCCTTCAGGTAGCTCGCCCGCCGTGCCTGGACCTTGGGCGAGGGTTTGGGGCTGCAGTCCGAGTCACCGCTGTCCTCTTCTGCCATGGCCTTGATGTAGCTGCCGCTGCGCATCCGCCGGCACGGGATCTCATCGTCCTTCCCCAGTGGAGAGAAACTGCTCCAGTCATCCTGAGGCACCTGTAGACATGAAGGGAGATAAGGTGAAGAGGGTGCTAACACAGGTCGCCCTTTCAGAGTTCAGAGCTCAGAGAGAGGCACTCACACATGAAAAATAGACAGTTTAATATTTCCTACCCTGGCCTGATATAAATACCTGTACCACACAGTGCACTTAATGCCTTTAAAGAAGTGATAGTAACAATATCAATGCAGGAGCTCCCTTGATCATACCATAAGCTTGTGATTGCCGGAGGCCTTCTTTTGTCTGTCCTGTGATGCATGCGGCATATCAAACGCAGGGAATTAAATGTTTTGACAAAATGTTGCAGTAGCCCGGCCTCTGTCTGCTCCCGTGACTTTTCACACACACTAATGAAGGTAAAAAATAAAAGGAGGCAAGGCTATCTCCCAGCCCTAATCTAAAAGAGAGAGAGAGAGAGAGAGAGAGAGAGAGAGAGAGAGAGAGAGTCAAAGACAGCAGACATGGAGAGAGGGGGGAAAACAAAGGGGGTTTTGTTCAGCAGAACCACTGCAGTCCCAATGTGAGTGGCTGTTAGGGCACCGGCTCTGAAGTGAAAGAAATGAGATACAGAGCGAGGAAAAAGTGCAAGAGAATCATTCAACAGACCGGGGTGTAGCTAGGAAACCAAGCTGACCTTGATGTCAGGGGCAACCACAGACTATGTTAACATCTTGGGAAAGACTGGGTGTGTGATGACGTCACAAGAATTGAATTACTGTTACCGAGAAACAGCCACAGAACAAATGAAGTCATGCTTTTTAAATCTATTACCTACGCAGTAGCGTATAGCATATTTAAGATGTTCTAACCTGTGAAAGAGTTATGCATCAGACTAAATGTGTGTCTGTGATTACGTGTGTGAACGCATTATAGGATCCAATCCCAATAGGCGAAGCACATATCATATCAAGTCTTTGTTTTAAGGATTCAGGAAATGTCTGCAGACAAACTTGTCAGGCTGCTCTCCTTGAAAGCCTATTTTTTCCCTCCCTTCTGTCTCTCTTTCTAGAAAAAAGCGATGGCTCTTTTAGGCTGGGAGAAATGTTGCCGTACTGCGGCGACAACATCCTTCCTTGATCTGCTCACTCCGTTTTCCAGGCTGTTAAAATGCACGACCACACAGAACTTTCTCTCTGTCTTTTATATGCTCCCTCACTCTTGCTTTCTGACTTTTACTTTCTCCACTCACACCCTCCTCTTTCGCCTTTCTTTGCTCTCATTTAGTCCTTTTCCTACAGTACACACACACACACACACACACACACGCACACACACACACACACACACACACAAGCACACACAAGCACACGCACACCCTTCCTTCTATTCTCTCTGCCCTGTCTCACCATTTCTCCCCTCAGGCTTTTATTTGCAGCTCACCCCGATGAGAGGAAATATATGCAATCTGAAACACTTTTATCTTTTCCAAAAAAGAAAAAGAGAAGCAGTGTCAGGTGGGCTGATGTGTCATCATGCATGTGTGTCTGTGTGTGTCCCTGTGCGCTTGTGTTAGTGTGTGTGATGACTGGGCTTGGGGACTGGAGCATTTTTTCTTTCCTGTCTTCCTCTGCTCACCTCTGTCTCTCTGTGATCTCATATTATGGCCACACTATCACTCTGTGAGTAAGATATACACACGCTCGTGCATGCACACCACCACTGCCATGACCGTGACCAGACAATTTGCCTTTTATGCTCTGAAAACAGATTAGATGGGTATTTCTGGTCTGCTTGAACCTGACCTGTCAGACAATGAAAATAAAATCAGCTTACTGCATTATTCCTCAAGTGTAAATATAAAAGCATTGATGCCATTCCATACATTTAAATATGAATGTAATGGCATAAACATCCACCTGCTCGTGTACAACTAGTTCCATGCATGTCGGCACAAACAAACACAGAAGAGAAGATGACGCGATGATTTTGCAAAATGCTTTATGATGATACGAGGGATTAAGTCAACATGAGGCCAATGATCATTGGAGACACAGCTAATGACAGGATGGGGTCTGGGCCAGTGCATTGCTGACACTGACACACACACACACACAGATACATGCAGAAAAACAGAAACATGGAGGAGCAGCTGGCGGCGGGTGATGCATGAAGCATGACATGCGGGAGGTGGGGCTGTTGTAACAGTCCTACCTGTAGGAAGTGGCAGGTGCGTCCCTGCTCGGCTTTCACTAGAGCCTTATCTAGGTTGACTGAGGCCTTCTGGTAGACCTCTCGTGCTCTGCTCACCGTCAGTGTTGAAGACCACGAGCTCTTCTTCAGCTGCACCTGGCCGTCCAGCGCGCCCACCAACGGCAGCCCTCCACTGCTGCCCCCGGAGCACGTCGAGCATTTCACATCGTTGTTGCTGCGTGACGTCTTGAGAGAGTGGGCGCTGATGGTGTTGTAGGACTCCATGAAGTACTGCGACTGAGATTTGTCTGGGTGGCGCCCCATAGTCATGACCCCGGAGGGCAGGCCTCCACTGCTGCCCCCGTGGTGATGGTGGTAGAGGCACACCTCCCGGTCAAGCGTGTCGTCTGAGCTCCAGTAGCCGGAGATGGCAGTGCGCATCTTAGGCTCCGACTTTGAGCGGTCTTTGCTCTTACTGCGTTTACTGTGCTTCAGGGTGCCGGAGGATGAGGGCGGGTCATCAGGACTGGATTTGCTGCCATTCATCCTCCCGCTCCCTCCTCCACCAGACCCCGAGGGCCCCTCCAAGGAGTGGGACTTGGTGAAAAGCTTCTGGACAGAGTGAACGAGATGGCGGATCCGACCGGGGCTGTCGCTGCGTTGGTGCTCTACCGCGGTGCGCTTGTACTGCAGCGTGTGGTAGCCTTCACGCCGCACCGGCGCCTGGCGCTCAAACTGCTCTAGCAGGTTAGATGGGATGCGGTTGTTGTTTGCTCCACCTCCTCCGCTTCCCTTACTGCTCCCTGTTGGCCCTGTATAAGGCACCACAGCGCCACACTCCTCCTTCAGCTCATGGTGGGAGCTGTAATGTCTGCGGGGGAAGGTGCAGCTGGCCAGGTCAGGATAGGCATTGCACTCAGACTGGAAGGAGTTGCGTTGGGTGTAGCAGGAGTGGTCAGCAGGATGAGATTCCCCGGGGTTGAGGAAGTAGGACCGACGATCCGCGTGGCCAAGGGTCATGGAGTCGTAAGAGGGGTCGCAGGTCACCGCGTGGGGGTGACTACGGCTGCTGGACAGGCCTTTCATTGTCATCGTGGCCGGGTCGACGTGCACATCCAACTGCTGCCGCGGGAAGTCTGCACAGGCCCCAAAACTAGTGCTACAGAGAAACACACAGCCATGAGGAAGAGCAGACAAACAAACAAAAAGAGAGAGACAGAGAGGAGAATTATAAATATCTCATATTTGCATACACCCAAAGAACAGCGCAATGTCTTCATCTGCTTTAATTTGAAGAAGATGCTTTCTGGCACTGCTTCACAGATGAGAAAACTTGCTGACGTTGACGGGACTTGGGCCTATTCTTCTCTTTCAACCTTTTATTTTTGTCCTTCAAAACTTCAAAAGGAGCAATCTCTAAATATAGCAGCCACTTGGCATGTGATCCTTGACATCCAGATCTGTCCTCAAGCTTCCTCCTCCACGTCTCTGTTCGCTTGGGTAGATTTCAGTGAAAAAAAAGTGACAGGGGATTGAGGAAACAGAGAGAAACAAAGGAAGAGGCAGTATCAAGAAGAGTTCAAATGCATTTCCAGCTCTAGTGTGTGCTAATATTTTTCAAGGGTACTGTTAGAAATGAAGCATCAGTGTAACTGAACAAGAAAATAATGAGCAATTGTTGGTGGGAATGCAGAGACACAGGCATCCTCTGCAGAGCCTTAATCCCTCAGATGATTTCACTAAAACTGCCCAATGATAAATTCAGCCGAGTGCTTTCACAGAACAGTGGATATAACAGATCTAGTAATAGTCAAAAAGCGCATTTATTTTATCAGTGCTGCATGCATGCACATCCCCGTCTCGCAAAGACAACAAATGATCACAGCCTGAGCCTAGACTTTCCCTCCATACCTCCAGTTCTCCTCTAAGGGCAAACTAATTGGCCAGTAAAACCCAGCTGACAGCATCTGGGCCGGTCGAGGCAACTGGCAATAAACGACCTTTCCCTTACATGGTGACATGAAAACAATGGCATCCATCAGCGCCCTTAAACTGCCTTCCTCGCCCATCTGGGGCTGTGGCTGGCTAGCCGCCGTACGCACACGGTTTTCCGATGGACTGGAGGTGAAGCTAACAAGACAATAATAAGAGCCCACGCATCCTGGTGTAGGCACAGTGACAGCAGTGTGGCCGAGCCTGCGCGGGGGAATTCATTACTGCGATTTATAATGCACTTCCAAAGGCCACAGTGGTAAATATAAAAGAAAAAAGAAAAAAAAAGAAAAGAGAAAAAGATGGAGGAAGAGGGGGGGGAGATTAAACGAAGGGAGAAAAGATAAGAAAAAAATGAGGGAGACGGAGCAGCAGAATGAAATATCATGTCAGTTCTTTACATAACTAGAGGACACTGTGTAGGGCACATACTGGATGTATTTATGTGCTTGAATAGAGAGGGAGTCCCATTTATTATTTTCTTTGACGTGCCTGTAAACTGGATGCTGGATTAATTGAAAAATTGGGGAAATTATTCATGCAATTTCCTTGTCTGTACTAAACCGGGGGATCAAATCGCTCTGGGAGAGAATTAAGCCAGTATATTACTCTTCAATTGTTAGAGGGAAAATGAAAAAATACAGTGGTCAATCCCCACCCCCGTCTGCAATATACTTACAAGAGTGAACTCCTTACAAAGCATACACTACGTACAACACTGACACGCGCAGTGTCCGCTTCTTGCAGGGCTCTTAAAAAGTGGGCTGTGTCCCACTAAAGGTATTCATTGCAGTTGACAGAGATCCCTTCTGTTGGCCGCTGAAGCACAGAATATGACCTAAATAAAAGGCCCTCGCGGTGATCCACAGCAGCGTGTTTGTGGCACAGCTGTCTGCAGCACTGCACTAAAGCTGAAAAGCTGAAGTTGGGTCATGCTGGCTTTCTGCCTGCTAGCCACACACACACACACACACACACACACACACACACACACACACACACACACACACACACACACACACACACAAATACATAGTGTATCTGACAGGCTGCATGTCCACGCTGAATTTTGATGCTGCTAGCTTGTAAAGTGCAGTTTATCAACAAGAAGAAGAGGATCTGCTGGTTCTGCCGTGTCCGTCAGGTACGGCCGACAGTGACATGAGGAAAGCTCATAGACAGCTGTGGTTATGCATTATGCTGTATGTCCATCGTAGCTGACTGACCCAGTTGTGTCTCTACCTGTCTGATCAAGCCAACCTCAATATAGCATACCAGCAAACTGGACAGACCTTACAACTCTGAAACAGTAGTAAAACATTTCAGTCATGACACTGAAGTAATTGTTTTTAGGTTGTAATTGGCTGTTTGCTAAGCTGTGCCGCCTTAGTTACTGTTGTTAAGTCTGTCAAGCGTCCATTCTCGCACAGCACAATAATGTTTGCAATGATTTAACACATAAAAGTCTCTGAAACAATGTGTCCTTGATTTCAGACGCTCCTAATTTTGATCCAGTGACTGCCGATTTTGCCGCCTTAAATGACAACTATCGCTGGAGCTAGCTAGTTAATTAAGCTAACGCTGCTGATCCAACTGCAAATAGTCCTCCCATTCTCAAAGATTTGGACTCAGCTGGTGATTGCACTACAACAATGTACTTTACATATTGTTACAAAATAATCTTGTAAATAACTCAAGTGTCCATATCTAATTGATAGTGACAAAGCTTTCAAATTCTTTTAAAGTACCAGAAATGCTCGTAGCACAGCCCTACAAACATCATTTCAACATGCAGAGAAATCCAAAGGTTGACAGGCCTGCCAAGCTATGATGGGGCGACTGCTGTTTGGCGGACGGATTTAGCCAATGGTCAGTTGTTACCTTGGGAATTTGTCTGAAAATGCCACACCAGCAGAACAACAACAAGCACAGTAAGAACTACAGTGCTTCAATGCAACACAAAAGCATACAAGAAAACAAATACAAAACAAGAAACCCCAACGCTCCTTCTACTTTGTGTGAAGAGACTCCGGATACCGCTGAGACTTCATTACATTTAGAGTGATTGTGTGCTGAACAGCAAAGTGTGCAAACAAAACGCAGTAGATAAAACAAGTCAGGCTATGAATGTTAAAGCCCATTACCACCTGCACTGCATCAGCACAGCAGGCTAAATTCTATTTAGATGCCATGTTTTTTTGGGCTGAAATAGATAAATAAATAAAAGATTTTTTTCTTCTTCATAATCTAACGCATTAGCCCATCTTCAGCGTAGCCTCACAGTGGTGAAATCTACTCCCAATTTTCTTTACTTCACCCTTAGTTTTGAGGCTCACAAAAGCAAATAAACAAAAGGTGGTAAGAAAATGCAAAGTAATATTGACTTACTTACTGCATACCATTTTCGTAGGAAGTGGTGAAATCAATATGCCTGAGTGTGAGAAGACTGCTGCAGCTTTTCTTGCTGGCAAAATAAAAGGCTGCTGTACAGATTGCAGTTGGTCTTTCTTCTTCAATCGACATCAAACGCTGGGTGCAAGACGGAGCACAGGCAGGGCTTACTGAGCTTCTTTCAGGCCTTCACAGGCCACAAGGCGGCAAAAGGTCCCTTCTTCTTTCTCAAACCTGCCAATGATTTCTACAAAGGTTGAACACATAACCAATCTCCCCTCCACGGGGGATCAAAACACCTCAGTGGATGTGGCTCGTCCTATGTCTGTATGTGCGTTTGTGTGGAAGAGAAGAAAGAAAACAGCACTTTACCTCCAGTTTTCAGGTCAAATGAAGTTTTGACTCTGATCCTGCAAGCATTTGCAGTCCCAGGCTAATGCATGATATTACCGCCCAGACTGGATATAAGGGTGAAGATATGGTACACACAAAAACGTGTATGTGTGCATACGATTCTGCATGGTGTGAGGCAGAAAGAGGATGACAGTATATCCTTGGGATTGTTTCGCTGTGAAAATAAAATAAAAATGCAAATTTCTAGACCTGCTCTTTCAGAATTGACAGATTGGAAAGCATTTCTTGCATACTTGATTGATGTGGCCTACTTTCCACTTTTCAAACATGCTGGACGCAAGAAGGTTATACTCTGCACTGTGGTCTCACATTTTTCTTGAGATATGTGTACGCAAACATATCTTTTCTGTTTTATGATTTTCTTCTCTTTTCCTGGGTCGATATTTGCGCTCACATGACCTGAGATGTGCATTCACTCCTGGTAGTATCTAGCCATGCAGAAAGCATAGGTTCAGTTTATTCAGGTTTTAAGATATCTGCCTCTGAGGCCACATACGTTTCAGTGTTAAAATGCATCATTCTGCTACGTTTATGCTTGGCATCCACACTACTACAAAGTTTTTGAGCCTCTAAAATGGCAATGTTTGGAAACCCTGCTGGCCCTGTTTTAGTTTGAAAACTCCAGAAACTGAGACTTTTGGAAACAATGATGCAGATACTCTCGTTTGTTCCCTGATTGGATCCTATTGGTCACGACTACCTGTTTTAAGCGTTTTAAAATGCTGTTTTAAAATAAAGACATGGACGTAGCCTGAGACTTCTGCTGCCTCTCAAGTACAATAGTGCTAAAGGTGACATTAAAAAAATAAAAATAAAAAAATCGACAGGGACATGTATTCCAGAAACAATAGCCCAGATACTTAGAACAAACTGGAATTAATTCAACAAAACTAAATTCCATTTATCTCCAGTCCAATGGGATCCTGGAAAAACCTCAAAATCAATAGTCACATAAAACTGAAAACTAGACACACCCCCAACATGTTTTTGAACTGTTGTAATTTGGTTGAAGTGTTAAAAAACAAAAAACATAATTGAGCAGCATGTTCCTGAATAAACACGATAATTAGCATTATGCTTTTCTGGGTGGAGAGGAAATAAAAATGTTCCCTGTAAAACAGTGAGTGACATAATAAGTAGTAAATATTCTGCCCTGCTGCAAAACAGACAGACATAAATACACATATGAGTTATATTCAGATATTCTGTGAAGCCACTTTAACAGACAAACTTACAGCTACTTTCACAAAACTCACCCATATTTATAAATATTTAATTACATGAATATTTGAAGC